GAACCATTATTTAATGATGTAGAAACAATATTATTAATAGAATATTCTTCTGTTATAATACCACTAATAGTAGTAATATAACTTTGATTATCATATGTAGTTGCATTATCATCCAATGATGTCAACTATGCAGAAAAAAACAAGATTGTTTTAAGCATTGCATTCTCATCAGTAGTAATAAAAAAATTGAATTAACCTGAAAGAATAATGACGCCATAAGGTACGTCTGTCGAACACGTCAACTATTATTCTGCTAACAAGAAAAAAAATGAGAAGAAGAGAAAACGAAAATGTTTGTTGTTCTTTTGCATTTCCGCTTTTTATCTATGCATGTGTCAGATAAAATATAATGCAGACAAAAATAATATTCACTTTGCATTTTGTTGTATCTTTTTTATCTAATATTACTTTGAAAAAAAAAAAAACTTAATATCAGTGATTCATTCACATATGACATAAATCAACACATTATTCAGACTATAATAAATTGTTTTGATAACCGTTAACATTTACCGTTCACTGTTTTTCTTTTTCTTTTTCTAGTAATTTTTTTTTATTCCAATTTAATAGAAGATATTTTAATTGAATATGTCGAATATTCAAATCAATCTATAACATCGACTGTAAACAACTAACATGACACACTTATCTATATTTTTATGAAAACTTCATGTTTTGATAGTGAATAATCTTATTTGATCAGTTCAAGACTTGAATCAATGTGAAGTATCGAAATAAGCTATTCAAGATATGCCAAGTATAGATGTGCAGGATAAGTTCCTTTCGTACTTAGTGACCTTGATTTGAAAAATTTTATCGTCCTTACCCTACTTTACCTTGTATAACATCTGCGCAGTCAGACATCACCGATAAAAAACACGTTTACGTGTCAAAACATAAACTCGTAATGTTTTCAAAAAAATTCTTTTTTTTTTAAACGAGTGTAAAGACGATGATGCTCACAAAAATGCTTTTTTTTGTAAAAATAAAAATCGTTTTTCAGCATAAAAAGGACATAGTATCGCACTACTTGTTGGATTTGGGTCGTGGATTTAAACTATACAACATTAATTCAATTTGACTGTACACCTACATAGTATGCATCAAATACCATACACACAAACTTGTTTAATATGATAAAACCTTGAATGTAAAATACAATAAAAAACAAAGTATTGTTATAAAAAACTCTATCAGATTAGATGATCTATTCAGACTTGAAACATCAAATATATCATGTTGTAGAGCAAGTCAAGACGCGTCAAATGGTATATGATAAGTTTTATTTTCGTAAGACTTTGAAGGAACTAGAGTCAATTTACTGATAGATAACTGTGGATTCAAAGTGTAATCAGTTCCTGATCATTATTGTCCTTGGCATTAGGCAAAAGTGTTTATAAAAAAAATTTCTCATTGACAGTTTTGTAGAGCTTTTCATGAGCTACAAGCTGCTACAATTAACCTCTCCCAGCATTTTTCTCTTTAATCGAAAAAACTGCAATTTTTCAATAATTTATCACAGTTTTCCATCTCTTCAAAATTGTCGATTATAGATGACGAAACCAAATGCCAAACTTTCTTAGATATTGTCAGCAGTGTAGCACTACAAACTACATTAGATGAAAGTCGGGATGTGTGTGTGTGTAGATGTGGTTGAAAGGAAGATCCACACAGACATTCATACTCTCTCATTTCTGAATATGTCACCCAATCCCACAGGATCCTTCGTAACAACCATATTATTTTGTCTTTTTTCCATTAGTTCTTTCTTAGCATTGAAGTTTTTTTTAATTGTATTTCATATTCAAAATTTTATCATAATAAACAGGTATGTATATAGTACTCGACCTCTACTATAAAGACATATACTCGAATTAAATGAATGTTGTGAAGTTTGAATACACAACTCGCAACAAAAAAAAAAAATAGTCGAGATTTTTGATTCATTCTGTACTACGCTATTTTGGAAAATTCTAAAAATGACCAATAGCAGAAATAGAATCGCAATAGAGATGGGCTCTAATGCTAACTATCATCACATGCAATGGGCAACTCATAGAGAATGATCTTCTTAGTATTTGGTAGTCATCTCTCTCAGTTTTCAGAGTTTTGACTTGAATATTTTCTCACAAAATAGCTTCTGCAAGTCTCTATGAAATCCAGTCAAATGAACTTTTTCAACAGAATAATTTGAAAAGCGTATTATATTTTAAAAAGGTTCACTTTCAAGCATACTCTTCAGTTTTACAAAACTAATTATTTCTTTTCTTGCGACTAAACAGATTACAAATAATTCGAAATTAAATCTTCTATGTTTTCAAAAATATTCTTTTTGACAGAGCTCAGAACAAAATCTTTCAGTAAATTTATGAGATTCATGTAATCAATCGATTTGACAAATGAATGGGAATAATTGATTATTCTCCTTAATTATGTCGCTTACGACACAAATTGTCAATAGTTTGCTCCGATTCAAATCATAAGCGCATACTTCCGTTCCATTTGGCAATAAATATGAATTCAAATTTATTATATACTTCACTTAATTAAATGAAACTTTTGATGAATCACTATGATAAATCTCTAAAATACAAATGTAGGAGGACGAACAACATATTTTGTTCGGATAGATCAAAAATATTCTAGATAAAAGAAAGTACTCGATCAATTGATAAATCTTGTCTTAAAACACTAGAAGATGCATTCAGTTACTTCTATATATCATAAAAGAAAGCAGTGCAAAATCGTCTAAATCGAAATAATGGCTTAATAATAAACTTTTTAGAAGTAAAATTCCTATAGGTCATGTATGATTTTCCAATTCCTCACTAGAAGAGCTTTTCAAATTGTGTTTTTGTTAAGATTTGATCGAACTATCTTTTGAAAAAAATATTTGAATCAAAACTTTGAAAACTGAGAAACAAATCGACAAAATATTGAGAGAGTCATCCTTTACAGGCCGTCCAATATCACCGAAACTTATCATCGACATATGAAGTACTATATCCTGCAAAGAAACGTCATTCGGTATCATATATCACGATACAGATCTCTTCGAATGTTTTCTTTTATCCTAACTTTTACTAAACAAAGTTAATAATATCAAGATAAATTTAATTTGGCTTGTTGTCTTGATGTGATTTCTAATGTCATAAGTTACTGTTGTCTAGCAACATTTTTCATCATATTACATGTTAGAAATGATTGGCTTTAAATTCAATTATTTCTTAGAAAGATCTTGTTTTATTTCTAGAAAAAATTTTTGAATTGCTTTCATCTGTTTTATACTAAATACTATCAATAAAAATGCATTTTGTATTATATTTCTCATATTGAATCAAATAGTCTTTTTGAACTTCGAGTAAAACTGAATGAAAAATGGAAAATCTTTGCTCGATTTTCAGAGCTTTAAAGAAAAACATTTATGTCACTGTTGATTTCTCTGTCAGAATTAATATTCTATTTATACAGTTTATGGCAAATCATCAAATATTTCTTTCTTCTATCAATATAAAATCATGTTTATATTTCATAACTAAACATCAAAATACTGTAAAATTTGATCAAAATTTTAAAAACAAAAAAGAAACTATTTTGGCGCCTACAACCAATCATTGTTATTCTACGAAAACAAAACTTTAAAGAAAAAAAAAAAGAGATAGGCGCGACAGTTACAATTTTCGTATTTGCGCTATAATCTTCTCTTCATTTTCGTTTATCTTCATTTCACTCTTCTAATTATTAATCGAATAAAATGACAACAGCTATTTGTTCTTATGAAAATATTCGTCAAATAACATCATGTACAGTATGTAATCGAACATTTAAAGATCCTCGAATCTTACCATGTGGACATACATTTTGTATTGATTGTATACGAAATACGATGCTTGATACAACTATCATGGCTTGTTCTATTTGTTCGTTTATTTTATATACTTTTTTTTTTTAATATTCATTTACTCAGGTTTAGCAAAGCATACTATTGTTAATGTTGATTTATTATCACAAAATGTAGCTTTAATGCAATTATTACATATTCGAAAAATTGATATTGTTCAAAATAAACAATGTGCAATATGTAATGTTCAACCATCAATAACATCATGTGCACATTGTTCTCGACAAGCATGTGTTTCTTGTTTGGAAGTTCATCGACAAGAAGTTATTAGTGATATTACACGAGAAACAATGGAAATTGAACGAATGAGTGATGAATTAAAATTAGCACTTAATCAAACATCGAATGATTTTCGAGATCAATGTGATGAAACATTTCAACAAGCTAATAAACGGTATGAATTGTTTTTAAGAAAAAAAAAAAAAAAAACTAATAAATTTATTTATTTTTTTTGTAGTTTTGATGAAATGCAAAAGAATTTAAAATTATTAAATGAACGTTTATGTGCATAAAAATGAGAGAAGCCCTCATTTTTGGAAGTAAAGAGTTTATTTTATATTCGTTTCAAAATAATTGAAATGCATTTCTTGCATTTTTGAACTGTATTCATGTTTCTCAGATGACGTAGCCTGACAGAGCAGTATAGAAGTTTTTCTCAACGTCTCCAAAGCTCGACAGTTTCTCAAGGTAGAGTAGCATAATAAGCGCAATTTGATGTATCTATATTATAATTCATGAAATGCTTATGGTAGCCGAACATGTAAATGATAACACTAGTATAGCTAACGTATCATTCAGGTTATCTGATAACATAAAACTGAAAGAGTATAGAAGTTAATTTTTGGTTTTTCAGTTACTACCAGAGTCCTTAGACAGTTTGAAAACTTCAATCTATCGAAATTTGTGTACTTCTCTACTTGTAATTGAATCGAATACAAACAAAACCTAGAGAACTACTACTCCGTGAGAGCGAGGGAGAGATTAAGTCACTTTTTTTAATAAAAAAAAAGAAGAAGAGAGGATAGCTGAATGATTTTTTTCAGCTCGAGATTTAATTGAATCAACACCAACTATTCAATTTGTTTCATCTTCATTTCAAATGCTTAATGAAGAATTAGCTGGTACACTTGTTCTTGATAAACCTATTCATGGTACTATTAGTCCAAGTGGAACATCAGCTAGTGGTGATCATGATAGTCGTTTAGCTGCATTGGCATCAGGTTCGTTTTTTTGTTATTTTATGAATGATTTTCAATATGAAATATTTCTTTTTTTTTAAATAAAATAGGTTCTCGAACAGGTAAAATGGAAATAATTGGACAAGAAGGTTGTGGAAAATTAGAATTTAAATCACCAGCTGGTATGACAATAAATGGCGATGGACATTTAGTTATTGCTGAAATTGATAATAATCGTTTACAAATTTTAACAAGAGAATTTACACATATTCGAACAATAATTGGTTTTCGTGAACCACGTGATGTTTCATTTACAAAAGATAAACGTTATTTAATTACTGATAATCATAAATTAATTATCTTAGATGAAGAATTTCATAAAGTTGAAGTTATTGGTTCAAATAAATCTGGCAAAGGACGAAGTAATTTTCAATTCAGAAAAAAATCAGAGAAGAATTCTTAAGCAATGAAATCAATTCTCTCTTGAAATTAAGTTTCATACTTTCCAAATAGTTAATATGGATTTGAAATTCTACAAAATGTTGCTGATACATAGAGCATAACTTGTGGCTAAGATACTTCACTCAAACGCACAATATTTGAGAGAGTCGAAAATTGCTCTTTTTGATTGATATTTAATCAATTTTGATCTGAATAGTTAGCTGATCTTTGAATGTTTCAAAGTGATCCATCATTTTCCTTCAAAAAGAACTCTGATCACTTGTGTCTAAAGCACCAATTAAACTCAATGTAATAGGGACACATCGTAGAACTCCAACAGGACTATCGAATAATATGGAATTCGAAGTGGATCACTACTTTCATAGAACCATAGGAGAGGAAGCTTATTATGGCAACCCTTATATTGTATATATGACATAACAGTACCATTCGATAGCGGAAACAATGAGTTATCATTTTGTATATGACTGTAATATAAAGCGTTGAAAACGAAATCAAATTTTTTTGAAATGAAAACTGCTTATCACGATCGTATAAGGCATACATAATATTGAGTTTTAAGTGATTTATGCATAGGCACAATGGAAACTAACTGATTAACTCGAACGGCAAGCAATTCGTGACACCTAGATTAACTATTTGGAAAGCATAAAACTTAATTTCACAAGGGCATCAATTTTATCGCATTATGAGTTTCTCCTTCTCTATTTCGTATTTTGTTTTCTTTTTCTTTTTAGATATGTTTAATAATCCAACTGGCATAAGTATTGATGATGATGATGATGATATAATAATATGTGATACAAATAATGATCGTTTAGTTCTTATTTCACGTGATTTTAAATGGATACGAGATATAAATACAGGTATTGATACATCACCACGTTATATTTGTATACGTCAAAATATACTATATGTAACAAGTGGAACAAAAGCTTGTGTTTTAATATTTAATAAAAATACTGATCAACAAATAAATACAATACCAGAATTAACATTAGGTTTATCAATTGATGCACCACGATCTATTCGATGTGTACGAGATCTTTTATTTGTTACATCAAGTTTATCAAAAAGTATATTTGTATTTACAATTGATGGAGAATATCGAGGTGAATTAAGACATGAATTATTTGCAAAACCAATTGGCATTCTTTTTATTGATGATAGTCTTTATGTTACAGATAGTGATAAACATGCATTATTTCATTTTAGTGGTGTTCTTCAATGAAAAAATTTTTATTTAAATTAGATTAATTCAAACAAAAAAAAGAAACGAAGAACAAGAATAAACAAAATCAAATAAAAATATATATTTTCGTTTTAATGTAAAACTTCATATTAAGAGAAATTTTTTGTTAATGTATAAAATATTCGATTTTATCTTCATATAATTACTGGATTTTTATCTTCATTTTTATTTTTACAAAGTGTTAAAATTATCAATCGGTTACGGTCTATTAGTTTTTCATAGTCAATCGAAAGAAAAAGAGAAAAACAAGCTGTGTAGTCAATATTTTAGGTTGAAATCTTCATGTTTTTTCATTCTCTCTGCTTAGTTCGAAAAATGTCTTCCATACGTTTACTTGGAATTTTCCAAGTTGACACATGTGTTATATAAAGGATAACTGTTCTGTGATTGATTCAGTTTTAAGATGATTCATCTATTACTTTTCAATTGTATACTTGTTATGATCAATGTTTCTTTTTAACGTATTTATTATAATTTAAAAAAAAATCAATTATTTATTCTTGATACCTTTCGATATCAAGTTGATATTTTAATGTCATTTTTTCGAAGTTCGACCCTGTATTAAAATTATCAAGGTATTGTAAATAATCATTAACAGCTGATATTTTTCTCATATAACAAACAATTGCTAACTATTTGATGTGCACGTATATAAGCACTATTTATAACCCTTCCTACAGTCTAAGGACAGCTTATTTTCTTGTTTTTTTTTTGATTTCTCGAAAAACAAAAGATCTTGTACAATTGAAATCATTATTTCAATGATAATATCACTATTTTCCCATCGAATAAAACATGTTTTCTCTTACTTAATTTCCATAATCTTGTTAATATTTATGAAGATACAGTGGCTCGAGAAATTATTCAATCAGGTTTATTTGATGTGTTTTTTACTGCCATCAATACTAATAAGTATGCAAATAGTGATTTATGTAAAGAATGTTATTTCAATAAGAATTTTCAAAGATGAAAATGATTGCAATTTTTTCAAGGATATGATCTATGAAGAATCCAAAACCAAGTTTTTTCATTTTCTGAAATTCTATTTGAATTATTCGGAATGATAGAGCAAACAAACCCTTACCATATGAAGCATTTTCCAACTCTCTACGACATTCTTTGACCGAGATACATCAGTCTTATAGAAGGAAAAAAAAGACATTTGTGTCTTCCCTAAGATCAATGTGTTTTGTTAAAAAAAAATGTCGTAGAGAGCTGTAAGAAGCTTCATGATGTAAAGAACGGTTTACTTTATCATTTTAAATAATTCAAATAAAATTCTTTTTTGCAAATTTCTTTGGTTTTTCAGAGACTCGACTCTTGAAAAACTAGTAATCATATTCATTTTCAAAAATTCTTCTAAGAAATAAAATTGTCTACATAAATCACTCTTTAAATTTATATTAACATTTATGGTAGTGGAAAAATTGAAAATAAATCTTGTTGAATAATTTTGAGAGCTACAACGAACATTCAAATCAAAATTTTCGATAGCAATAATTAGTTTTCGTTCATCTATTTATATTATTTATTAATGTTTGAAAAAGTTGATTGAATCTCAGAGGAACAATTTTCATTTTTTATTTTATCAGTGAAATAGATAAGTAGTTATCAAGTTAACGTTATATTATGATATAAAATTCATTTCGTTCGTTTGTATGTCACAAAATCTACCCGTAGTAGTATTCGTTTTCTTCACTCTTTCTTTTTCTCTTTCAGACACATGAACTTTTTTTTTATTTCTTTTTCTTTTTTCGGTTATTCTCTCTCTCGTTTCAAACCTCCATTCGATGCACAATTATATGGCTGTTTTTTTCGTTTATATATAGATTTTAATTTAGAATCTTTATATCTTTGAAGAATCAACGATTATATTTTATTTTTTTCAATGTATAATTTGTTTAATTAAACAATGATTTGAATAAATGATAGTTAGTTTTGATAAAATGTATTCATAACTTCGGTATTTTAATGATAGGGTTAATAAACAAGATTGTATCTGTTTTGGAATATATTTTAATCAATCTTTTCTTTTTTTCTAGGATTTTTATAGTTTCAATATGAATTAAATTCTACATCAAATTATTATTAATTAAATATAAATATATCATGATTTAGTTAGTGATTCTTTTTATTCTCATAACAAAAAATCGAGAAATAATAATCGTCTAAAATTAAATAAGTTTTATTTAAAATTTTATGAATTATTTTATAATGAATAACTCTACTCAACATGTTCATTAGTATAAATTGAATGCATTCGTTTTTTTTTTGTAGATTAATATATATTTTATTGGTTTTCGACAATAAATAATGTTTCATCATATATCAGTATTTAATGAGATTTTATTTATCATTGGTTTTATTAATAGAAAAAATATTACATTGACAAACAGCCATCCATGATTAATGTTCCATAAGTGAATATATTTAAGAATAAATATAATGCTGTATTTAATTCAAAATGAATCGATAAGTAGATGATTACTTGTAAAGTTAACGAAAAAAAATCGATGTGTAGATATGAAAATAATGTCTGAGATTTGATATTAAATTCCGATAGCATTCAATATCATGATCAAAAATGATCATTATTAAATGTTGAAAATTTATATAAAAAAATAAAAAAAAATTTTTCCATCAGTTTTCGATTTCTAATTAACACAAATTAATACAGTTTCTTTTTTTATTTTAGATGAACTTGTAAATAATATATTCTCGTTCGTTTTTTCTTGCTTTTTTTTTGTTTCTTTTCTATTTATTTCGTTCTTTCTGCTATTCATCATTTGCCTTTCATTTTACATTTGAAAAGGTTGTTTTCGTATCTTTGATTTGTCTAGATAAAATAAATGGCAACAGCCAATCATTTTCAAACTCGTGTATTAATCCCTAATAAAACTTCATTAACAGATAATGAAATTCGTCTTAATTCCCTATTAGAACAAGCACAACTATATTTTCATACATTAAATAATCTTGAAACAAATGACTATAATAATAATGTATTACGAGAATCTGAACTTAACTTATGGTCATCAAAAATGTATGAAAAAATTGATGATTTATATAAATCATGTTTAAATGATTTAAAACAATCATTTGAACAATTAAAATTATTTCAAAAATTAATGATAAATATATTAAATAATGAAAATGAAAATAATCTTGATGGAAATAAATTATTAACTATTGAACAAGAAATATGTATATTAAAATGTTTAACATATCAACTTGATACAACAAAAGTTAAAATTGAAGGAAAATTAAAATTAAATAGATTTTCTGATAATGGTGATTATGAAATATCTATTGATGATAATAATAATTATCAAAATAATATTAATGAAGAAAATAATAAAAAAGATTTTATTTGTCGAATTTTAGTACATAAAGATATAATTAATAAAATTGAAAATTTACCTCTTGTACAACAATTTGTTAAAATGACAACAGATCAAATTAAACAAACAACACCTGAACGAATTTTAACTATTATGGGTAAATAGAAAAAAAAAGTGAAGAAATTTTTTTGTCTAACTATTGTTTTTTTTAGGTCCTCATCATTTAGATGTTATTGAGAAAATACTATTTAGTGTATATTCATCATCATTAAATCAATGTGAATTACGAATTCTTCTTCATCAATCATATGCACCATTGATATTAGGAAAATTAGGTGATCGTGCAAAAATTTTACGTGAAAAATATTCTTTACATACATTAACTATTCATCCAATATGTGCACCACATTCAACTGAACGTGTTCTTCTTATACAAAGTCTATCACCTGAAAAAATACTTTCTTGTCTAGAAGAAATATTTGTTAATATTAATCAACATACATATGATGGTGATGAAGTCTTACTATATCATGAAATGTAAATAGAATATTTATTTATTTTATAAACAAAAAATCTTTTGAGAAAATCAAATTTTTATCAAATATGTCAACCACTACGAAATTAGAGCAAAATTTGTTTTTTTGCCATTTTTTTTTCTTATGGTTGGATAGTAGAGCTTGTCGTATTCAAAATTTTTTGAATCAGGTCGAATTGTACTAAAATAGTCAAATGAGTTTTAACAATTGAATTTTTCTATTTTATCTCAAGTAATTAATTACGATTCATATTTATGAAGTTTGTTTTGTAGAAATCAAATCTTCACAATGATATCTATCAAATGAAAAAAAAAACCAAATTGTTTAATCACAATAAAAGTTTACTCTTCAACTTATATTGTACAACGAAATGGTCAACGAGAGAATCTCTTCAAATGTAAAACTACTTTTTGCTCGAGACTATTATCATAAAACATATGTCAGTGAATAGTTAAAAAGTCTATCTTGGTTTCGGTTCTCTGGATCTTCGATATTGATATATAAAATATTTTATGTATTTTTTTTCTACAGGATTCTAGGTTTCTACCAAAATAATATTTTTGAATTTTATTTACATGAAGAGTTCAACTAAACTTTTTATAAAGGAAACAAGAAGGTCAGAATTTTAAAACCAAGTCTTACGAGAACATCTTGAGTTCTACAGAGAAAATTCATTAAAAATTTAATATTTCAGTGTTGAAGATCCATTAACCAAAACCAAGATAGACTTTTTAACTACTCACGAAAAAAGAATTCGAGATATTTGCGTCTTTTACGTTGATATTTCATCTATAAGTAAGGCTTATTTCATACATGTAAAAGTAATAACAAATATATTAAAAAGTAGAAGACTGCAAATCTTTCTGAGAGCGAACTTAAGGATAACTAGTTAATACTAGACAGTGTACACTATTCAACAGTACAACACATGCTTGTTTTTTTTTTTCGTGAGAAAATTATGATAAAGTTTCAAGAATTTTTGAAATCCATCATCTGTGAACTTCTTAATGTTACCACATTGAAATATATAGTATAATTTAGTTATCATAGAATTCATTATCAACAAGATTTACAGTCCTCGACCTTTTAAAATATTTGCTGTTACTTTCACATGCATGAAAAATATTCGAACAATTCAAACTCGACAAGAAACACCTATGGGCACAAAAGATTTAGAGACTTTGTATAGTTCGCTAAGGCTTACTTAAGGGCAAAATATTAGCTCAAAAGGATACGGACACCTGGGAATATTTTCTCGTCAGTAAAGTCTATTTGATAATAATAGTCTTGAGTAAAAAGCAGTTTTACAGTTGATGGCGTCGCCTCGTGAAATTAAATCAAGAAAGATCTTTATAAAAAAATACACACACAATTTTTTTCGAAGTTCATGAACTAATTATTTAATAGGAAATTTTCTTTCTACAACAAATTTATTTATTAAAACTTGAAATCAAAGTCTTTTATAAAACTATAAAAAAAAACGAACAAAGTTTTATGTTCCATGATAGATTCTATTCGTCATTTACTTTTTACATTAGAATTTGTTATGTCCAAAATTTTCAAACTTCGACCCGGTCGGTCCATGCGTTGATATTCTCAATGAAATTTTCGAATTGGAATTAAAAAGTTGTTTCGAAAATACAAGATACTTTTTACCGATATTTTGTCTTTGACAATAAGTGTGTCGTACAAATTTCTTAGACGATTAAAGCCCATCAGATCAAAAATTTTCGAACCCAAACCTCGTCAGATTTGAGTTCAGGATCAACTCAATAGGTTCTAGTTTCCACGTGTGCAAGTTGCAATATAAATACACATAGTATATACTAATATTCTGATTAACATGTAAATAAAACAATCTGATCTGATTTAATATGAAACATCTACTAATTCTATTTCAATAGAAAATGATAAAACTCAACGAGAGTAAAATTCTAATTTAAAAAGCAAAAGAATAATTTTCTTTAATATTTTTTCTAGTAATTACGATGCTTCACTCGTTCATGAATATGGTGGTTTTGCTTCATCTGAAATAATCACACGTTCAAATGAACAACATCATGAACAAAATGATAAATTTTATGAAGAAGAAGAAGAAGATGATGGTATTCGTCGTTATTCAGCATTTGATGCTTGGAATGGTTCAGTTGAAGCTGATACTGATCATGAATTTTCAATAGTTAAACTTAGTGATGATTCAATAATACGAGAATTTTGGATAAATCATGGTCAATTTGGTGCTTTACTTGGTCCACATGGTGTACGTATTGCACAAATTCGTTCACAATGTCGAACAGTTCGTATTCATACAGTAGCTGGTTCATCAATTGATACATGTTCAGTTAAAGTAATTGGACCTCGAGCTGATGTTAATCATGCTGTTAATTTAATAATGCAATCAATTAAAGAACATGATAGAAAATTTCCATTTAAACATCATCGTTTTAGTGGACGTTTAAGATAAATTTGAACAAAACCTTTTGTTTTGTTCTTTTTAATGAATATATGTATTATTATTATTATTATTTTGTTCATTTATTGTTTCTATAAGATACACACACACACACAAACATAAATAGAAAAAAAAAAGAAAACAAAAAATTTTCAAAGAACATCACGAATTATGTGGTGTTAAGATATTTGTATCAGTATTACTCATCGTTGTTCTAAAAAAAAAACAAAATTTATATTGAAACACAAAAAAGAAAACAAAATTTAATTTTTATTTCTACTTAGATTGTATTTCAAGTAATTTAACTTTATGTGATTGTTCAGAAAGTGTATCTAATGCTTCATGTAATTCCTAGAAGAAAAAAAATTGATTTTTTTTTGTTTTTGTTAAAAAACACTTTTGAAGTTTCAAACGAACTTGTTTCAATGTTTTAATTTCGTAATCTTTTCGAGTGATTTTTTGATTCATATCTCGTTTTATTGTACGAACTTTTGATGTTACAGCATCAGATGGATAATGAGGATGAAGTGTTGCTGTTGATCCACCACTACGACGAATTAATTCATGAGATTGAGATTGATCGACATTCTAAGAAGAAGAAAAAAATCTTGTCAGTAAAACTCTTTTAAGACTAAAGTGTGCAACTCACATATGTTGTTTTTAGACTTATTATACTGATACAAAATTCGATAAGTCAAAAATCTCTGATAGTCTAAAGTCGTTTTTCAAGAAATATCGATTGTCAATGAAACAATCTGTCTTATTTTTACATTTTAGACAAAAAATTATTCATTTCTTATTTATTACTCTAGTTTTTTTTTTATTTGTCATGTTGCTATTCGCTCATTATTTTTCTTAATTTAACATTATGAGTATTTTAATCATTGATTTAATTAGTAAATAACTCTGTTATACATATCCATGATTATCTACACTTGATCAGTTCACAGTTTTAATGGTGATCAAATGACGACTGTGGTAAATCAATGAATGACTACTACATTATTATTGGCATCTTTAATATAAATTTGGAAAAAAAAAATAATATAACTCGTTTGTAAACTGATAATGGCCACTAAACTGAAAACTATTTATGTAAATTTGGTCTAAAATCAAATCAATGCCCCAAATCCAACCCTAAGCTGTCAACTACATATAGAAATCAAGTCTGAAATATATTCCAGACTTTCTACACTCCTAATTGCCCTCTCATCTTCTGTTACTAAGGAGAAAATATGCATTGATTTCTGACGTTTAACCCTGGTTAGTAGAACTTAGAGAGAGAGCTGAAAAAACCTTCAGTTTAAAATTTAATACTCACTATTATTTTACAAAATATATATAAGTTTAACAAAACAAGTTTAGAATCAAAACATACTCGACCGAGTTTAATTGATGAATTAAGTCGTTTTTCTTGATTTAAAGTATCTTGCGTTTCTCTAAGAGTATTTCGAAGAAATAATGATTCATCATCTTTTGTTCGTTTATCTACCTAGAGATGGAATAGATCTTTTATTTTGAATATTATTTTGAATTGAATTACTTCAAGATCTTGTAATAAAATATCTTTTTCACGTAATAATATTTCTGCTTGTCGTAATTTCCCTAGATCTTTTTCATAATCACGTAATAATTCTTCTTTTCGTGTTAATCGTTCACGTAGCATCTGAAATATTATCATCAATTATTATTTATTCAATAGAATAAAAAAACAAAATATTGTTTACTTCAATTTTTTGTATTAAAATTTCATTTGTACGTTGTCGTTGTTGTAAAGCAACATAACGATCAGTTGTTTGAAGAGTAGCTAATGGAGTTACATTTAATAGACTATCATCATCAATATCAAGTAAATTCATTAATTTTCGTGTAAATGTGCTTTGCTAAAAAAAAAAAGAAACAAAGTAATAAGTTAAGCATAAAAATTTTATGGTTACAAACAGATATTTTTCAATAACTGATGAACAAAATGTTTCTATACGTCAATCATTTCAAATCAAATAATCCTATACATTTTGAAAGCTTCATTAGACTAGAAGCTTTCTCTACAATTCTATGATTGAAATGTAGACCGTGATGGAATCATCAAAAATGGACATTGAGTTTGAGCAAGAAAAAGACTTTGGGATAAAATCATGTTTTTCTCAATGCTTTTTTCTTCACAAAGTTAACTTTAGTTCCTTGGAATAAACAGATTGATATCATTTTATCATGAGAATATATTATATTTAATTCTTGTGATGATAGAAAAACTCTCTGATGAGTGCATCAAGTGCATATCAGATATTGTTACCGAATAGCTGGCTTCAATTTTAGATATGAAAATAATTCCGAACCATCATAAATCAAGTTTCGAATTAGACAATCAGGTTCTAAAATATTTTCTCCTATCGCAATTATATGTTCATAATACAAATATAAGAGAAAAACAAGGTTTTTGCTTGTTTTTTTTACACAAAGCAACTTGGTCATACGATGATGATTCTGTTACGCTCTTTCTAATGAAATTGAAATTTTCATTAAAAAAAGGCAATTATTTCTTTGGATAAAAGGTAAAAGAGTAACGATAGAACAATCATTTATAGAATCAGAAATAGCTTTTTTTTTTATTAAAAATCATTTATGAGGTATTTTCGTAATGGAACCAACTTCACAAATGGATTACTTTTTAAATGTAAATAACCTTTTTTAAGAAACGACAAAACCTAGGGCCTCTTGTCATCTTGAAAGAGTCAAGTTTAAGTAATTTTAGAACGTGTGATCAACTTTGATAAAGACTACAATTGTTTATATGAAAAATACAATAATAAAACCATATGACGAATAATAATTTTGATCGATTCTAAGTGATATCCCTTTAGGAAAATGTTTTCTTAGTGATATATGAAGCGACATACATAGAAACTACATTTATAAATTCACAACATTCGAGTAAACCGACAAAAACAGTATTACTTAGTTTGGATAAAAAGACAATCATAAATTTCACACTATATAGAGAAAATATGAGTCATTATTATTAATGATCAACGTACAAATGTATCTATGCAAGACTCATTCAGTTCCATAGGTGTAATTTTCTTTCTTAGACCTATTCATGATTTCTGGTGAGAATATTATGCATCTATTAAAGATTAGTTATTATAGAAGATGAATGATCGGACAAAAGTAAATATTAATGTAGTACTCGATAAAAAAAACTACAAAGTGAGTTTACTTGGATACTATGATCAAGCTGGTCGATATTTTCTAGATGTCGGAGGAGCGAAAAATTCCGTAGAACATGTTTTCATGCTCGGAGTACCAGTGATGATGACTAGAAAGGGAAACACGAAGACCGAAACCCACCATAATTCAACCCCTCTCACAATAGATCACTTGTTATTAAGCCGTCCCCTTTCCAATCTTATCGGCAGAAAATTGGATATTTTATGAGAGAAAGATCCTTCGTTCCTTCTAATCAGCAATCCGTACTCACGACAGAAACAAAGGGTTAAATTATTGTGTTGATATTAAACGTCAAACTTAGATAAAAAGAAGAAATGGCTTCAACAAGCAACATTTCTTTAAAGAAAATCAACTCGAAAGAAAACCTTCTATTTATAATGAGAAAAAATTTTATTGATAAATTCAATGAAAATTTTTTTTCTTTAAAATCTTTTCACTTACTAATTCATCAGAAGATTGTAATGAATTCATTGTTTCAGCATGTGCTGCTCTTTCTTCGATAATTTTTTGTGCTTGTGGTGGTTGCTCAGAATGAATTGTCGCTGATGATGATTGTCGTACTGTAGTTGCTGTTGATTGTCTTTGTGATTGTTGTTGAATAGAATTTGGTCCTGATGTTGTTGTTAAATATGGTATATCATCTGGTAAAGCTTGTCGTGCTCGTAATTCTGCTAATTCACGTTTAAGTAAAACAACTTGTTGTAAAACTTTCTCATATGATGGATTTACGGGTCGTAATTGTTCTAAAGATTTAATTCTTGCACGTAATTCATTTAAAGCTTCACGTTGTCTTCCAATCGTTTGTTCATGTCGTTCACCTTTACATTGAGCACCGATCGATACCAATTCGTGTGTTATACGACCCTTAAAATTTGAAAAAAAAAAAATTGATTAAATAAAAAAAAAACAAACAATGAGAAAATAGAAATGTATACTTCATTATGATTTATTTTTTCAACTTGTTCAACAACCAAATTTTTTTCATCAAGAGATTTTGTTAAACGATCAATATCAGCTTGACGTTGATCAACTAATAATTGATATTGATTAACTAATATTTTAGATTTTCTATTAAATAATAATGAAAAACAAAAAAATTTGCTTTATTTAATAAAATAAAATCTTACGATAAATCTGATTGTAATGTTTCCATTTGTGCTGATTGTTTATCAACAATATCGCTTAATTTAGATAATTTTAATCTTGTCTCATTTAATTCTTTTGTTTGTTCACGTATTGTTAATTCACTTTTTTCCAAAGCATGTTTTTGTTTTTCACTTAATTCACCTTGAACATCAGATAAACGAGCTGTCATACCAGCTAAATCTCGTCGTAATGAAACAATTATTTGTTCTTGTTCTTGTACACGGGATTTATAAGCAAACAACTCCTGACTAAATAATAAAAAAAAAAAAGTAAAAAAATCTATTATAAATAGAAGCCAACCTGAGATCAGCTACAGGTGTAGCAAGAACAGGAATGACTGCTTCAATCACTGGTGGTGGTGATGTTGATGGTGTGTCTGAATATATAAAACAAAAACAAATATATTTATTTTGTTTATTCCATAGTTTTGAAATATTTCATATCGATTCGATAGAAATTTTGTAATTAGAAAAAGAAAACATTATTGTCAGTGCAAAAAAACAAAAAGAAGTAAAATGATAGATTCCTTAAAGTCACCTTCTTCTCTTTTTTTTTGAAGTTTTTAAAGAGCGACTTATCAAAAAATTTAGAAATTCTTAGGACAGATAGATGTTGATTGATAGAACAAAAATTTGTCATCACGAATTTTGTCTTCTATGAGAGATTGAGATCAGAATGACCACAGTTTTTATTCTTCTCTCTGCTCTAAGACGCTTTGTTCGATTGAGATGAAAGTTTTTTCACAGATGGATAATTTTTTTGACTTTCCTACATCTTTTGTCGTGCGAAAAAAAAAGAAAATGTTAGACATCCTGAAAAACTCTTGACGTTTACTCAGACAAAATTTATAAAAGTAGCCAAGAACCATCAGAACAATATTTTTGAAATCAATAAAGGAATATTCATGTCTCATAATGGATATGAAATAAGTTTCAGCTCAATACTTCTTATCAGGTCGGAGATATGGTGATCTAAGACTTTGTATTTTGTAGAACAGTTGATTTTGTCCTCAATACTCATTGTTTTTCTCTTACTATTGAATCCATTATTAGTTTAGTATATCTGCGCTTGCTAATTGCCTATAGACAGAGAAAAATAACATATCAATTGAAATTCATCTCCTGTTTGCATGTCTATTTCACGTCTACCTTGGACAGAGAGAATAGAAGTGAAAGAAGATGAAAAGTTGTCAAAAAATGCGCAAATAACTGAAAAATCAATGAAAGACATACAACATATTTTACGAATTTGTCGTATCAATTACATCTCAAACTTAGTCAAATGATATCTCAATATGTACAGGGGGGTGCAAAAGTCACTTAACTCAAAAGAAAATTGGATATCTCCATTACGGCTCGAGCAAATGAGCTGATCTTTTCCCCAATAATAGAGGCATGTACAAGCTTCATATCCATAAAGACATGCCAAGAGAAACCCTTTGTTTAGTATCACTATTGACCTCAACAAGAAAAATTTATTTTTCACAGTCTGAAAAAAAAAGGCGCTTTACCCAAAAAAAGTTCAATATCTCCATTACGGCTCGAGCAAACGAACTGATTTTTTTACCAATGACAGTGGCATGTACAAGCTTTATATCCATAAAGACATGCCTAGAGAAAAGCCGTTTGTTAAGTATACTGTTTTCCATTCTACCTATGAAAAAGTAAAATTATTTTATTGAGGTCATTAGTAATACTTTATAAGGGCTCTCTCTAATCTTATCCGTATGGATTTAAAGTGTGAGCATGCTTCCATTGTTGGTAAAAAAATCAGCCTGGTTGTTCGAACCATAGCGGAGATATTTAATTTTTCCTTGGCATCGTAACTTTTGGGCCATATTCAGGGTGGTGCAAAAGCCAGTCTACCAAAATAAAAATTGAATATCTCCATTACAACTCGAGCAAACAAGCTGATTTTTTTACTAATAATAGAGGCATGTTCAAGCTTCATATTTATAAAGACATGTCTAGAGAAACCCTTTGTTAAGTATCACTATTGATCTCAACAAAAAACGTTTTACTTTTTGACAGATAGGAGAAAAAACAATATACTTAACAAAGGGTTTCTCTTGGCATGTCTTTATGGATATATAGCTTGTACATGCCTCTATTATTGGGAAAAAAATCAGCTCATTTGCTCGAGCCGTAATGGAGATATCCAATTTTCTTTTGAGTTAAGTGACTTTTGCACCACCCTGTATATATATCAATGGTAAAACTCCTTTTTTGATCTATAGAAAGTCTTTGAACAATGTTTTATCAATCAAAATAATAAAGAAGAAAACAATCGATTTATAGACTTCACGAGAAGTACCATTACGTCTAAGAATTAACAATATACTTGTTATCAACAAAAGTTTTTTTTTTTGTTAACATTGATATTTATTTCTGTTTATTGGTAACAGCTCGAAGATTGTAGATTTCTCATGTGAATTTTTTGAATTCTCTCTAAATTAATATGAAATACTACTATTGTATAGTTCATATTAAATTAAAATAAACTAATAAATCGAGTAGAGAGTAAAATAAAATTTCACCAAACAAAAAAAAAAGCAATCTTTGAATTATGAGAAAATAGAAAACTGTTTAAATTTCAGAGAAAAAATTTCGTTGATTGTGCATCATATCTGTAGAAACCATTTTTTTTTTCATCTTTCACTTTTTTTTTTTTAAGAATCGAAATTAGACAATAATTTTCATTAACTTTGTGCGAAGAAAATGATGCTCTTTATATTTTTATAAATTAAAAGAATTATACTTCTCTTTCACTCAGAACAAGTCTATAAACACCATTCGATTCCTATATGAACTACCTTTATCATTTCTATTGTAATTATCCAAATCAACTTGTAGTTTAATACGTTTTTCTTGTTCGTCTGCAAAACTTTTTTCTAATTGTACGATTGTTATTGAAAATTGTCGGACTTGATCTTTATAAACTTCAATTTGACGACTTTATATTTTATATATAAAATAAAAAAATACATTTGTTTTTTTTTTTAGAATTAAATCAAATTACTTTAAATCTTCAATAGTTGCATCTTTTTCTTTTCCTAATTGAATTAGTTCTTCCTGTTGTCTTTCGTTTATATTTGTTAATTGATTTTGTCGTTCATTCTAAATAATATTAAACAATAAGAAATCTATTAGTACGATCTCTCTATGATGAAAATGTGAAAACACGATCTAAGTGTTGTTGTTAGTTACAAAGATATTGTTTTTTACTTTATCTATTTTCAAACACATTTGTTCATCGGTCTTTTACTTATTCCTCCAAAAAAAAGATAATAAGGAAGTAGTTCATATTTTATAACGAGATCTTATTGATATACAGTCTGTGACGTTCTGATGGTTATGTACGACACAGTTTTTGATGAGCCATTTCTAATGTTTCTGTTATGTCAATGGGAGTGCAGGAAAAAATCCAAATTATTATTTATATATTGTAACACTCTTTTTTTTAGATCGTGTTTCATAGAAGACTATTAATCTACTTCTTCAATTAATTGTTGTTGATATTCTTGTAGTTTTGTTGTTAATTCATCAATTTTTTGAGTTGATTCAGTTTGAAGTACATTACATTTCTATAGAAATGAAATTAGATTTATGTTTAAAATGATTTTTAACAAAATACCTGAAGATATTCACTTTGTTGAGATTCTGCTGTTTCAATTCGATCAGAAAATGAACGTGATTGTTCATCATATTCTCTTTGTAATTGAGCTGTTTGTTCACGAAGACGATCACATTCTTCATTAAAACGTTGTTGCCAAATTATACTAAAATTTGAAAATGTTGTAATCAGTTTGTTTTTTTTTTGTTTCGTTAGTTAATTATGATTTTTTTTCTTCTTCATACTCCTTTTCTGTTGCAATTTGTTCTAATTCAGAACGAAATGTTTGTTCCCGTGTTATTTGTTCAAGTGATAAATTTTGTTTTTCACGTTCAAGTTCTTCATATTGACGACGAATTAATGCTAAGATTTCATTAGTATCTATTAAAAATAAACATAAAAAATTTGCTTAGAAAAGAAAAAAAAAAAACTTATCGAAATCTTACATAAATCTTGTTCTTGATCATTTGGTTTAATAATTAAACTATTCAATCCGGAAATAAGTTTAATATGACAAGTCATAGCATTAATTACTGCTTTTTTAAATATTTCAACAAGACTATCATTATCAGTTTCTTCAAGTTCAATCATCTGTTGTCGAGCATTTAAAAGAATACGTTGTGTTGTTTGTTCTTGCATTGCATTTGTCTATTAAAATATTTAATTAATAATTATTTTCATGATTAGAAAAAAAACTTACAAGTATATCAACAAACTTTCCAAATGAAATTCGAAGTTGTTCATTTGACGATAAATATGTTTCACGTTGATGTTCAAATTCATTTCGAGATTGATTTAATTGTTGTTGAAGTTGTTGAATTTGTTCAACTATATCATGTTGCTCTTCATCATATTCATCGTCATCATTATCATTAGAAAAACAACGCCAAATATTTGTACATAATTGAGTATGCTTAAAAACAAGATATCGAATATACAGCATCAAATTTTAAGTAAATACACGATATTTCAAAAGACTGCAAGAAAGTAAAACTTGAATAGCAGCTCTTCCACAGTTCAATCATTTTCAATGATTCTTTTTATAATTTGATCTTATATTCATATTTAACATATTTCAGTTAAAATAGTTGCAACTATCAACATTAGAACTAAAATAGACTTATTAATAGTCAAATTTTAGTTATCTATGATTGTGAAATGAAGATTATCTATTAAATTTGATGATAGAGATATTCTGGGATACTCTATCCTACTGAATATGGTAGATTAAGATACGATAAGGCTTAGCAAATTTTTTTCCGTAAGAGTATAGAATATGAAATAAAACTTTTAAGAAACATCGAATGAAATTATGAAAAAATGATGTAATATTACATGAACTATTGAGAGACTATTCACGTTTTACACTCATAGAGATTTTTGAAACACTCTATATTTCGTTGTTTCGTTTTTTTTTTACTTTTCGTTGTGCACTAGCAAGATCAGACTTAAGTGTTGCTTCACTTCGTTTAACTTCTGCAAGTTGTCCACGTGTATGTTCACATTCTTGTTTTAATTTTTGTTCATTTTGATTAACTCTTAATAATTGTTTTTCTGTATCTTGTAATTGAGATTTAAGACGATTCATATTTTCATTTAATTCATTTATTTGTTGTTCAGCTAATTTAATTTTCTAGATTAAAAAATAATTATTAGATTTTAATCTATATAAAGATTTAATTCGTCATAGAAAAAAAATCATAACCAAACAAACATAAATAAAAAAGAAGTTTATATAATGAAGACTTACAACTTCTTTTTCTTTGTTATGTCGATCTTCTTCTGCACGACTACGATCTCGAAGAAGGTTGAGCTAGAAAAAAAAAAAAAAAACTATTAGATATTATTTTCAATTGAATGTTGATTCAAGTCATTTGTGATTTACAATTTTATCTAAGAAAAACACTTGTGAAATTTTCAAATATACTTTTAACACTCACCTCTTAAAAAAAAGAAATAAATGAGTGAAAAAAAAAAACAAAAGATATCATGCAAAAAAAATTACTACGTTTTGTCTTCACCTTATATCCTACCTTGGATTGTAACGATTGTAATTTAAGATCTTTATCACGACTATCAGTTTTTAATCCATCGATTTCACGATTTACCTTTGCTAAACTTGATTCCTAATTACGAAAAAAAAAAAACATTAAAAAAAAAGCTTCTGAATATAATTTTATGATTATACTTTTGAATGAAGATCACGTTGAAGACTTGATATAAGTCCAGAAGCAGCTTGTTTTTCTCGTTTTACTTTATCTAATTCAGCTCTTAATGTATGAACATCCGTTTTAAATGTTGAACTCAATGGTTCTAAACTACGAAGCTATTTAAAAAAAAAAAACTAATTAATTAAGAAAATATTCAAAAATTAAAGCAAACAAATCCTTTACTTTATCTGTTAATTCACGAATTTCTGCTTCACGTCCTTTAACTTCTTTTTCAAGTTGACCAACACGATTTGTTATTTCACTATTATCTTGACCTGATATATCTAATTCACCAGTAAAATTTCCATTAATGAGAGTTCGACTAGGATTTGAAGTACTAGTTATTGTCCAAGCATTAGCTATATCAATTAAATATTTTAATGGAACAAGATATATACAGAGTGTTGCAAAAGTTCTGTCGAAAAGGAACGTAAATATCTATTTTATTATTCAAGCGGCTTACGTGAAGGTTTTGTAGTTCCATTTCATATTCATTGAAGATTGATTTGACAAAAGCTTTTCTCTAATAGATGCACATAATGCTCACTTATAAATACAATACACAAATTTATCCTTTTTCATTTTATTATGATTTTTTTATTTTCAACCGGACAAGATCTTTGACAGATATCTCATGAAAATCAATTTCTACATGTTCCTATAAAAAAAAACTGTTGAGTTATGTCAACTCATCTGATTGTGATGCTGATTGAAATGAATTGTCTCTTCTATTACACTTATTTGAAGAAATATTTTCCAGGAACTGACAGATTTTGCAACTAAAATGCGAAAAAACTCCATCTTGAGAAGTAATATAAAATTCATCTAGCATAAACTTGTTAGTTCTGGACTATAAACAGGCTTACAAAGACTTCTCCCATGTCGGATGTTAAAAACTAAAAAGTTTTCAACGTTTGATTTTTCATCGCTCATATAACTTCCGAGTGTCCTCTGTCAAATGCCACATGTTAATACTTTTATGAAATTCCATTTTCGAAATCTCTAGCAGAAAAACTCGCACTGCGATTATTCTTTGTATGCAACGTTCCCTTAAAGATAATGATTATTTCTCATTCCAAAAGTGCTGAGAGCATGAATCATAAAACCTAGCACCGCTGAATACAGCTAACTCTCGTTCATTTTGGTCAAAGGAATAAAACGAGTCTTGACACATATAGGAAAGTTTTCTATTGCCTTGTTCTTAAACTCAATTTTTCAACAAAGAAAACAGTTTCATCTCATCTCTTTTCTCCTGTATGGTAAGTCCCATTGACTGCCCTCATAAAAGTTATTACCATCGAAAAAATACATCTGTTGACAATGCTTCTTTTGAGCTCTAGGAATGATATATTTGAAAGAAAACAAAAACACGCAACTCAGTTTGCTTCTAGTTTTTGACAAAACGATTACAACTTTTAAAAAATGAAGTGTAGAGTTTTGCAAGGACGGAAGAAACTTCTGGTCATCGTTGATCTTTGCGCCCCTCATATATCTCAAAGAAGCATCTGAAAATATTAAGTCTATAACAAATTCTCCTCGACTTATTCAGATCTATCTGTCTTAAAAGTTCATAATTTTTCGTCTAGCCGTTTTCGAGAAACTACAGAAACGGGAGAGAGAGAGTGGGGTTCTCTTTAAATAATAGTAAAATATTCTTCTTCATTGATAATGATATTGCTCAAAAACTTGTCCAATGACGTCTGATAAAAATCTCGTTAAGCTGAAAATAGAAATTTGCAAGAAGATCAAAAAGATTTCAAAGTACATTTATATGATATTTTGACAGATATTTTCAAAAATGATAGGTTTTTGTATTACATTTGTAAGTAATCAGTTTGTACATCTAATAGAGATGAATATTTGTGGTATCAATCTTCAATGAATATGAAATAAAACTATAAAAACCTCGTGTAAATCATTTGAATGGTTAAAGATATATTCACGTTTCTTTTTCATTCGGACTTTTGGAGTCTTCTATAGGAGAAATACTTACGACGAACAATAGAATCACGCATAGCATTGTTAGTTTGATTAGTTGATGTTATGCTTGAGATTTTTTTTGTTCCGGCACTCAACGCACGAGTTCTATAAAAAATCAAGTTTATTATTATTTAAATAGAAATAGAATAATTAATACCTAAGAGAAAATCCAGTATTTTGTTGTACATCAATTTGTTGTTGATGACTTATTGTACTACTTGGTGATCTTCGTGATGGTATTGTTTGTGTTATGAGATGAAGTGAATTCGATGTTGGTTGTCGAGGATAAATTGATGGCATTGTTGTCTATAAAAGATAAGATATTTTTATTTAGTTTTGTATATAGAAATAAATTATTATAGAAAAGAATACTTCTTGTTGTTGTTGTTGTTGTTCAATACGAAATTCAAGTGGTAAACCATTAAAACCAAATCGTATAAAATCTCCATCAGCCAATCGTACAGCTGCATTTTGAACACGACATTCATGTACATAAGTACCTGTTGATGAGTTTAGATCTTTTAAGATAAAACAACGTTGTTCATCATCATATTCTATCAATGCATGTTGATTATCAATATGAGGACTCTGTTGAAAATAAAAAATATCAAATTTTTAAAAATATATATTCAAATTGAAATAAGAGATCATACAGTAATGCTAATGTCGCAATTTTCTCGTCCAATTGTAGTTACTTTGGGACCAAGAGGAAAAGCATATAAACCATCGTCACTGTGCAAGTAACCTTTCATTTCATTTACTAATTCGATAAGTGAAGGTCAACTCAATATTTGATATTTCTATTTAAATATAATAGAAAAGTAAAAGACAACAACAAGAAGAATTCTTACACACTTCTGTGAAGTAATTTGATCGATTTCCTTTTGTATGCTTTTTATTAAAATGGGATTAGGTGTACGTTGCCGGGGCTTAAAATACTTGTAACCTAAACTCCATAGATTTGTTTGCTTGATTAGACAGCCATTTGAGATTTAGTATTTATCGGTTGCCAGGTAATTTGACGTTTTTTTTTAAAACGAAATCTTTTAAAAGGTTTCTGGTTGCAAATTAAAATACCATAGCAGATAACTTGTCAAAATTTTTCGAAATTTTATATTCCTTTATAGATGGCAGTAGAAGTCCTATTGAAGACAATTAATATAGATTTTAAGTTTCATTTGTAAAAGTTCTTAATTTTAAAAATGAAATTTTTTTCTTCAATAAAATTATAAAAATTATACGAAGAGGTTAATTCTCATAACTGTATTGGTCTAGTACAATGGGACATTACATTTTTTTTTACCTGAATAATTAAGTATTTTTTTCACTCTCCTCTTATTTTTCTTTGGAGTATTTTTTCCTTGTTTTGGTCACATGTTGTGCCACGTCTCATACCTACTACCTCTATGCTTATACGCAACTGTATTTATCTTTGAGTGTATTTTTTTCTAAAAACGTAATAGTTGTTGTGACTTGTTTGTTGTTTCTAGATTGATTTGGAGAGACTATTTCCCTCCTTATCTTTCTCATTTATCGTTTGCATGATAATTATGTCAAACTGAAACAAATCCTTCCAAGTTTACTATGATAAAAGCTGAAGAACAATCAATGCCGACAGATTCTTTTTCTTACGATAAATCCAGCGAAAAAAAAACTACAATTAAATGTTGATTGAATTCAAGTGTATAAAATAACAGCAATTGTTTTAGTTTTGTTCTTTTTCAATTTCATTTGACAACAATGAGTGACGAAGACGAACGACAAGCAAAGTAAAAAGAAAAAAAGAGATGATGTCAAGTTCTTATTTTATACTATTTGACGCTTATTTTAGTTCGACTACAAATTCACTTGATGAAACGAATAATCATCGTTTATCTGCAATTAAATCAAAACTTCAAGAATTAACACGTGAAAAAGTATTTTAACTAAATCAAAATAGAGTTTAAGTAAAAAGAAAAAAAAGAATATTTTTTATTTATTAGGCGAAATATAATGTTGAAAAGCTAACTCAAGATGCAGATTTTTTACGAAATGAAATAAGTCATTTGAGTTCTACTGTCGCTGATATTACCAAAGAAATTATTGCTCAAACAAATATTAAAAAGACTCTGGTATTTTTTTTTCATTAAATATGAAATCATAATATTTTAGTTTGATTAATATTTAGAATGCTAAAATGCAAATTCTTCGATCTAATTCAAGACTTCGCTTTACAAATTTAGAAATAGCACTTCATGATAAAGAGTAAGATTGAATATCTTTACATTACAATCAATTATCTTTTAAAATATATTCAGACGTTATGAAAAAGAATTAGAAAAACCAAATAAATCAAATGATTATCGAAAATTAGCAAAGGAAAAAATAGAATCAATCGTTAAAGCTGTACCTCAATTAGAGTATGTTTAATGAAAAGTTTTTTGTTTTTTTTCTTTATTAAAAATAACAACTGACAAATTTTCTATAGAGAACAAGATAAATATAGTCAACAACTTGAACAAGCTGAAAATGCACAAATAGCAGCACGAAATAAACGAGAAGTAAAACAAATAAAAATAATAATTATTTATTAAATTATTAATTTATTGTTTAGAAACTTGTAGAAAGTTTAAATTCAAAATCACGTAGACAAGCGGAAATAAAACAATTGTTAATCGATAGTACAACAATATTACCTAAACTTGAAGCAGGTAAAATAAAATAAAATCTAATATTTTCTTTATATTGTCAAACCTTTCTAGATATTGAAAATTTACGTTTGGAACGTGAACATATTTTGACATTAATTGGTAACAAAAAACACCGTCGACATTCTTCTACTCCAATACGAAAATCAATCGATTCATCTGTTCCATTGTTTGTATCACTTGAACGAGATACGTTAGTTCTTCTATTATTCATTTCATATTCAAATAATATTTTTATTTATTTGTTTATCTAGTTTGGAATATGAAAAACAACAATATAGTGAACAATTGGAAAAAATTCATTTATTATTAAAATATTTTCATGAAAAAATGTCTGAACATAATTTAACAAATACTGATGTAGCATATTCAACACCATCTTCAGAATTAATGTCACCACTTTATCAACCATTAACACTTTTTGAAGAACAAACAATACTTTCATCTTATATTGATGAACATGATGATGAGAATAATTCATCAATAAAAACAACAAAAACCAATGAATCAACTGTTGTTATTGCTATGAAGTTACCAAGAAGTTTTATTCCATTAGATATTAAATCAACAGTAACAAATGAAATAATACATTCACCATATTATCATCAAAGTTCGATTGAATATAAAAAAGAATTACCATCAGATATTGTTAATAAATATGCTGGAATTACTAAAAAGAAACAACAACGATCCACTCACGGAAAGAAAATAAAGAAGAATAAAAAAGTAATTTTATATATTTGTTTCTATTCATATCAATCATATATTAACGATTTTTTTCTTGAAAATTTTTCTCATTGCTATACTTGTTTCGAAGTTTCACAAAGTAAAAAATGAAGGAAATACTTTTTTTTCACGCTTTACAAGAATAAACTTCTAAAGAGGATTTACTTTAAAGATTATATAATAACTTTAGAACACTATAAATCTTTATTGAAAATTTGTAAGTCTGTTTCCAGTTTTCAATTGTATATTAATCCTAAAATAATATTCAATATTTATATCATCTGTAGATGTGTTTCTTTTCTAACAAAATGACGAAAGAAGAAAGAATCATTGAATAGAAGGAAAAGCAACATATAAAAAGCGAAAATAATAGTACATGTCTAATCATAGAAATAGTTAGAAGAATATTTTTGATAGTATCGACACAGAGCTAGATATTCAATCAATCTCTTATAGTCTTTTAAAAGTTTTTCTCAATCGGCAAAATTGGAATAATATCATTATTGTTAAGTCTTACTTTGAAATACGATTGTCTCTTTATTTTTTAAAATGTATTCCAGTTCGATTTACTTCAATGGTAATAGCGTACCAATAACACTCAAAGGTAATAATTGATCAATGATTATAGTTGTTTAGATTAGGATAGAAGAAGTTGACATGCGAAAAAAAAAATTCCTGACAACATACTGAAATTTTTTTCAGACGAAACCCAGTTTTTTTTTGTAAAAAAAAAGTTATTGTTTAAAAAAAAGTTTAGTTGTTTTCTTTTCTGATTAGAATTTTGTTATGACACATTCATCACAAATGATAACTTTATACAATGATATTCGAACATCTACAGGTGATTCTGATACTCTTCCATCGATGCCTATGTATGAATATGAACTTTCACCCACAATAAAAGCTCTTCAATTAATGGAACAAAGTGTTGAGTCATATTTAAATGAATTATCAAAACGCTATCAAAATCATTTATCAATACGAATTGATGAAGAATATAGTGAAATTCCTGAAGATGATGATATACAAGACTCAGCTTTGGATACATTTTCTGAAACATCATCATTAGTTGAAACAACAAATATTTCTGAAGATTTACCATCTATTATTCCACCATCAATGAATATACCTCAAGCACGTTCATCATCATCATCAGATGATAAAAAAACAATTGTTTCATCATCATCTCCTTCATCATCTCATCATAGTCATTCGAAAGTAGAAAATCAATTTTCATCAACTGTCCCATTAACAGCTGTGGAAGAATTACCATCACATCTCTCATCATTAACAATGCAAATTACTCAAATGGAACGTCAAATATCTGATGAAGGTTATCGCTCAGTTAGAAATGAAGCACAACAACAAACAACAACAATAACCATCAATAATAATTCACCACTATTAACTCGATCTCATAGTTATAATAGCACTGAAAAAGTTGATCAATGGTTATCAAGTACAACAGCACCATTATCTATATCAATCACAAATGAAATTATTAATCTGGATAATAATACTGATTTTCAAGTATAATTCATAGTGACACTTTGATTGTGTTTGTATCATTTATTGTTTCTGTTTAAGGCAACGGATATTGATAATGGAGAGGAAAACCGGGATTAAATCAACGATATCGGTGTGTGATGATTGGAAATAGTTTAATAATCGTCGTTCGTAGTAACAACAGTGGTCCTTTTATTTTATTTTTTTGTGCTCGCTTATATTGCCAGCTAGTGAGTTTCTTTCTCTATTTATTTTCATATCACTCAATGCATTTGTGTCTAAGTTGAATTAAACTTACTATATTTCCTTTCGTTTTTTTTTTATTTGTTACTGTTGAATGATTGATTAAATATATATTTTCGAATCTGAGTTATTATTTATGGACCTATAAATACCTGTGATTGGTTTTTCATGTAAATAAATCTTAGCATTAGAATAGTTTCTTGTTTTCTGAATATAATGTGTTTATTTTTAAAATATGATCAATTATCTTCATTTTTTTCTCTTTTGTGTAATTTTTCATGTATTAGTTGATAAAGAAAGTAAAGAGATGGTCGACTCAGTAAATTCGCACATAGACTTTGATTAGCATCTATCAAGATGCAATGAGAAAAAATTTTTCTTTTTTCGATTTTTCTGCACTATGTAGAAAAAAGTGAATTAAATAAAGTACAGTTTTGATTTAATAAGAAGATGCCTCAAGAATCGGTGATGAAAAGGTCCAATGTTTGTTTTTCTTCTCTATTTTTGATCTATTGAATATATTCGTGTTAAAATAAATATAAAATATCATAATGGCGATATATATCGTTAATCTACCTTCGTTTCATTTT